TGATGACAACGTTGTCTGTGCGCATTCAAAAGAAGACCTACAAGCCACTCTAAACACCTTCGCAGAAGCATACAAGAAGCTCGGCCTGTCATTGAACATAGAGAAAACCAAGGTCGCTCTTCCAGCAGTCACCGGCCAATCCCTCTCCAATGCCAGAGATACAGCTTAATGGTGTAACATTAGAAAATATAGACCATTTCTGCTACCTTGGCAGCCACCTCTCCACCAAAGTCAACATCGACACCGAAATACAACACCGCCTGAGCTCTGTGAGTGCAGCATTTTTCTGAATGAAGCAGAGAGTGTTTGAGGACCGGGACATCCGTAGGGATACCAAGGTGCTTGTTTATAAAGCTATTGTCCTCCCAACCCTGCTATACGCCTGCAAAACGTGGACAGTCTACAGACGTCACATGCAACTCCTGGAACATCTCCAGAAAATCTTGCAAATCTCTTGGAAAGACAGGCCGACAAATGTCAGTGTGCTGGAAGAAGCAAAGACCACCAGCATTGAAGCCATGCTCTTATGTCAACAGATTCCTGAGAACTTTAGGCTGTGTTTGGAAGCAGTGATGAGTTGGCTACGAGCGAGCAGACTAAAAGTGAATCCTGCTAAAACTGAGATACTCTGGCCCGGCCAGCCGCCAGAATTAATCCAGTCTCTGCCTGATTTCGATGGGGAAGCTCTGGTTCCGTCTGCCACTGTTCAAAGCCTTGGGGTTGTGTTGGACTCATCGCTGACGACGGAGGCCCAGATCACTGCCATAAGTAAGCAGGCCTTTTTTCATCTTCGCCAGGCAAGGAAATTGGCATCCTACCTTTCGGTAGAAGCATTGGCAACAGTAATCCACGCAACAGTCACCACAAGGTTGGACTATTGCAACGCCTTATATGCTGGCCTTCCGAAGTCAACAACCCAGAAGATTCGATGGTCCAAAATGCGGCGGCCAGGCTGCTAGCGGGATCATCTATAAGATCCCATATTACACCGATTCTGCAACAACTGCATTGGCTACCAATAGAACATCGGATCTCTTACAAGATACTGATCCTGACATTTAGAGCTCAAAATGGCCAAGGACCTTTATATCTTAGGGACCGCCTCATTCCTTTTCTCCATCAGTGGTCACCTCGATCCACCCAGGAAAATCTCCTCTACATACCGGGCCCTAGGGAGGGAGGTACACCTGGAAGCTACAAGGCGTAGAGCTTTTTCGACCTATGCTCCAATTCTGTGGAACTCATTGCCTCCATACATTAGAGCAATGTCGGAGTTGCGACCTTTTGTAAAGGCGCTCAAGACTTGGCTGTTTGGTTGTGCATTTAAGTGATCAGATCTAATTTGCCAAATAGTCACTGTTGAATGTTTTTATGTTGAATGTTTTTATATTGTGTAAATGCTATTTTAAATTGTAAGTCGCTCGGAGCACCTTGGTGGAGAGCGACTAATTAAGAAATAAAGTGAAGTGAAGTGGTAGTAGGGCCAATGCCTAATCACCTTTTCCCAAAGCAGCTACTCTACTCTAAACTCAAGAACAGGAAACAGAACGTTGGCGGACAGGAAAAGAGATTGAAAGATGGGCTCAAAGCCAACCTTAAAAACAGTGGCATCGACACCGAGAACTGGGAAGTCCTGGCCCTTGAGCGCTCCAGATGGAGGTCAGCTGTGACCAGCAGTGCTGTAGAATTTGAAGGGGGTCTCTTCCAGTTCTAGGATTCTACATCAGGAGTAGGCGATAGGGAGTCTAATGGATACACTTTTTCTCTCCCATTCATTTTCCCTCCTGACCAAGGCCAACCCTTTTGGGATCAAAAGTTTGCCCATACCTGATCTAGAGCAAACTTACCCGACATAACAGACTTTAAGTACTGATGGAGTTTCTTGGCGTTAACTTGACATGATGTGAGTTGTAGTCCACCCACAACCTTATGCATTTTGGACAATTAAAAATGACTTTTTCAAATAACTCAGGCAACACCCAAGCTAGTATGTATGTGTGTTTGTGTGTCTGTGTGCGTGTATATGAATTACAAGATTGGGTTTTGTTTTGTTAGCCAGCATCCTAAGAGTTAAACTCCTCCGGAGCCGGCAATTTACAACGCTGTTAACAGGAATTATGCCTTGAACTCCTGGGTTACCCACACAGAGTTTATCCATAAATCTACCATATTGCTTCAGGCTTCTAATTTATTTCTCTGAAGTCATAAATTCTTCGGGATTATGCTCCCACTGACATTTTAAAACCCATAATGCTTTTAATTCTTCACTGTGAGCCCCAATCTGTGTGCGCTGCGCACAAAGGATGCATCTCCACTGTAGAATGGATGCAGCTTGAAAACACTTTGACTGCCGTGGTTCAATGCTACAGAATTATGGAAGTTGTAGTTTGACAAGGCCTTTTGCCTTCTCTGGAAAAGAGTATCCCAAACCACAACTCCAGTATTCTATGGCAGTTCAAGTGATATCAAACTGCTTTAATTTTACAGTGTAGATCAGGTATAGGCAAACCCCAGCCCAGGGGACTAATGTGGCCCCTTAGGCTCTTTTCTCAGGCCCTGCTTTCTCTCACCATCCTATTCTTCCTTCCTTCTTTCTCTTCCTCTTTCCCTCCCTCTTTCTCCTTTCCTTCCACCCTTTCATCCTTCCCTTCCTTCTCTCTTTCCTTCATCCTTCCTTCCCTCCTTCTTTCTCCCTCCCTCCTTCCTTCCCTTCCACCCTTTTGTCCTTCCTTCCCTTTTGTCTTTCCTTCCTTCTCTCTTTCCTCCCTCCCCTCCCCCCTCTTTTCTCATCCTTCCCTCCTTTTGTCTTTCCTTCCTTCTCTCTTTCATTCTTCCTTTCCTCTCTCCCTTACCTCCCTCTTTCTCTTTCCATCCTTTCCTTCCACCCTTTCGTCCTTCCTTCCCTCTCTCCCTCTTTCTCCTTCCCTTTGTCTTTCCTTCCTTCTCTTTCCTTTATTCCTTCCTTCCTCTCTTTTCTTCCTACTTCCCTTTCATTCTTCCTTCCTTCCCTTTGGTCTTTCCTTCCTTCTCTCTTCCTTCCCTCCTTCCTTCTCTCTTTCCTTCCTCCTTCCTTCTGTTTCTCCTTCCGTCAGTATATTAAATATTTTCAAATAATTATTCAATTTCACTTCTTTTTCCTTCCTCTTTTGTCCTTCTTCTTCCATCCTTCTTCCCTTTCTTCCTTCTTTCCTTCTCTTTTTTCTTCCCTCTTTCCTTTCATCCTTCCTTCCTTCCCTTTTGTCTTTCCTCTCTTTCCTTCCTCCTTCCCTCTCTCTCTTTCTCCTTCAGTTCCTTCCCTCCCTCCCTTCCAGCTGCTATCCCCACATTCCTTGTGCCGTCGCGCTTGGGGGCTATTAGTCTTAAAAGGAGGATGGACGTGGCATCTTTCCCCCAAGGGATTGCTTCTTGCCCTCCTTTAGGAAACTGGAACTCCCAAGAACCCAAAACGATGTAAATAACTCAAAACAAGTTTTATTTGTCACAAAGTCATTTCTTCAATGCAATAAACTGGAAAACTTTAGCAGGGTGAAGGAAAAACACACTTTACAGTCTCTATTAGTCCTGGGTCCAAGGGGGTTTGAAGCTGAGAAGCCTCACCAGATTTCCTCTTCCTCAATGGCTGGCAATGCCGGAGCAAAATCACAGCCCCAGTTCAAATGGCCTATTTTGAAGATTCAGAATCTTCCTCTGGTGCCAAAAGAACTGGCTTGAAGGCGCCTGGGTCTCCTCAGTATCGTCCAGGATGATCTGGACATAAAGCATGAGTCCCAGGGGAAAAAACCTCAGAATTGGTGCTAAGAGGTAACTTATCAGGGTCCTTTAGAATGAAGTCTCTTACTCACGTCCATGTTGCAGGAACTCTCATCGCAGAATGAGAGAAAAAAGGAAGTTCTCCCCTCTTGCAGGAAGAGGTGGAGCCAAACAGTGCTGATTGACAGCTACAAGTAACCAATCCATACAAATATACAGACACATGGCAAAAGGGGCAGGATTAAGCATGATACAACAGTTTAAATCTTACAACTAACAGTTCTATACATAGGTGGCGCCACTCGCGCCGTCACACTCCCGGCCTAGATTTTCGGACTTTCGAAAATCTAAACAAAAATGAAGTTAAACACCTTTAACTTTTATAACTCTAAGACTGTAGGTCTTGTGAAAATAACATAACCATATCGCTAATAGGCCTGTCAAACAAAGAAACCTTTTATTTGAAATGACCTTAACTTGGGCCTTGTGCACTCTATTGTCAGAGGTAGGATAAAACTTAGACACAATACCCTTAGCCCATTGGTGTCTAGGGGCGTCTTTTGTTTAAGTTATTTCTTCTCTGATGGTTTGGCTCAACTGATTAGCTAAGACAGTGGCGCAGAGTTCTAATCTGGGCACTGTAGAGTCCATGGGTGCTACTTTAGCTTTTGACATCACAAATCCTGAAAGGCAGGTACTGGTGCCTCTTTGTCTGGCGTATGCGACCGCAGCGATGGCCTTGGTGGATGCATCGCAGAATATGTGCAGTTCCATGATCTCTGCAGATGAGGAACTGTTTACTATGTACTGTCTTGGCAGTTGTATGTTTTCTAAGCCTTGGGCTTGGCAAGTCCAATTTTTCCATTGTGACATGAGATCTTGGGGAAGCTCTTGGTCCCAGGTGAGCTTGTGCTGGATTGCCTGTTTGAAAAGCAATTTGGCTGAGATGACCACTGGAGACACTATACCCAATGGATCGTAAATGCCATTGATGGCAGACAACATAAGTCTTTTGGAGGTGACTCTGCCCAATTTGGGGGCTCTTAAAGTAAAACAGTCTGTAGCTACATTCCATAACAAACCTAGACTGGTTTGAGCGTTCAAGTCTTGAAACAACTTTGATGCATCCTTTTCCACCAAGTCTTTTGGTGGGAAGGCCTGAAGTATCTCTGGACTATTTGAATTTATCTTGTGAAGACGGATGTTGGCCTTGCTCAGCATTTCTTGAATTTCTTTAACTGTCTTTGAAGCTTGTTGCGCAGAGTCAAAGGACGTAAGAAGATCATCGACGTAAAAGTTCTGGTTGACAATCACTGATGTTGATTGGCTAAACAAATGGCCAAATTTGTCTGCAGTCTTTTTTAAACAATAATTGGCAACTGCCGGAGACGGAGTGTTACCAAACACGTGAACCCTCATCTGGTATTCGGTCACGTCAGAGAGGGACTCAGTATCTCTAAACCATAAAAACTTCAAGAACTTTCGATGTTCTGGGCAAACTAAAAATGCATAAAACATTTTGTGTATGTCGGCTATTACTGCATACTTCCTTTCTCTGAACCTTAAAAGAACTCCAAGCAGGCTGTTAAGCAAGTCGGGGCCTTTAAGAAGAACATGGTTTAAAGCTTTGCCTTGACATTCAGCACTAGCATCAAAAACAATGCGGACTTTGTCGGGTTTCTGAGGATGTGTCACTTTGTGGTATGGCAGGAACCACTGCTCTTCTCCCTCTGCACATGCACTGGCTGGTTCAGCGTAGTTGCTGCTGAAGAGGTCTTCCACAAACTGGGTGATCTGGGTTTTCACCTTGGGATCCTTTAACATCCTTCTTTTTAAGGACAGAAGACGATGAAGGGCAACATCTCTGTTGTTGGGTAGAGACGGTCTTTCTGGCTTGAAAGGTAAAGGCGCGATCCAATTACCTTGAGGGTCTTGAGTGACTTGGTTGTTCATCATCTCAAGGAACTTCTGTTCATCTTTAGAGAAGGCTGTTTGCTCATCTCTCTCTGTGACTTCGAAGATGGAAGAGTAATCAGGCATTACTCCCTGGCAACAAACTGAAATGTGGCTGGCACATCCTTGCATTAGTGAAGGCCTTTTTGTGACAGGCTGGAACATCTTGTTCAGGCAGACCGGACCTAACACCGTCCATCCTAAAGGCAACTGCTGAGCTATGGGGGATCCCTTAGGACCTTCAATCTGGTTGCTAACACGGAACAGCATGGGACAATCTGCGCCGATAAGCATGACAATGTCTGTTTCCAAGTCTAAAGCTGGAATTAGATCTTGGATGCCTTTGAGATGAGGATGGGCTTGTACCACCTCCTTTGTGGCTATTTGTTCTTTGTTTCTGGGGATCAGGCTGCATTCTATAAGGTCAGGAAGTTCATAACTGGCCTTTTGTCCAAAAGGCGAAATTTTGAACTTTGTCGCAACTCTGCCATACATCTTATTCTTTCCTGAACAAGTGGATATGGTGTACTCCACTGTCTTGCTGTGAAGGTCGAACATGTCAAAGAACTCTGGGGTTGCAAGAGAAGCATCACTTTGGGCGTCCAAGGCGACGTAGACCTTTTTTCTGTTCCACGGCTGCTTGTCTGGATACACCTCTGCCAGGCAGATTGGGTGACAAATCCTGGGCTTGTTGCTATTTTGGCATAGCTTGGTGCAGGCAACAGCAGGAGCCTTGAGAGCTACCTGAGGTTCTGTAGGCTTTTGGTCATCTTTAGTTTCTTC